TGTAACATTAGACGGACATTTCTCTAAGGGAAGTACCGTATTTTTTTCTGGAAATTGACTTTTCATATGAATATAACATTCAAAACATGGGCTAAGTCTCTGCAGTTACCATATACTAATGAGGCAACATTTTGACCAATATGGTCTGAGCTCTCGTAAGCGGCCACCTCCCGTAAGCAACCACCTAGGCTTGACATTTTGGGTGGTCGTTTACGGGAGGTTCAACTCCTAGGTTAATCTCAGTAAAACTGGTTCTGAGAAATCATTTTGGTGTCATTTAAATCAGATATAATATCTCTTCTCTATTTGTTTGTGCTCACCTGTTATTTTACCGAGGTAGTCCATTTTAAGGTCTGTCTGATATATGGTGTTGATCAACTGTATTTAAACAGGGTTACAGGCTAGTATCAGCATGAGCCCTGACTACTATAAAGTAGGAAAAGTCTAATAAAGTCTAAAATATGTAATATCTACAATAGGTGTTCGGAAACATATCTCATGATTATCACTTGAAACTGACTACAAAAGAATTGGTCTTATCTTACACAGTGTTTCGTAATACGTTTCTTGAAATTGGAAAGCGATGTAGCTTCTTTAATTTTTTCTTGGGGGTGGAGGGGGGGTGGGGTGGGGGTAATCCATTAAAAAGAACCGAACCTGAGAATCTAAATGCATGTTTTCCTAAACTTAATTTAGAGTTAATTAAATGAAATGTTTTAGGTTTGAAGTGTCTTTCTCCCATTGAAATCTCATTGGGCCATTAAGTGTTAGTTGTGTACCTAACCGAGTTTAAAATATTCTCTTTTTCTATTCTTATCCTGTTCTATTTTTCTATACCTTTAGTACTATGTGTATTTGGGAGAACAGAAGTTTGTTGATCTTGGACTGGGAAGCCATCGTGTCAAATGTCGTGTCCATGATGCTTTCAGGTAGGTCTTGCCTGTTTAACGCTTTCAGCATGGATCGCACACCCACACTGATGCTGTGTAACAACTTGTGCTTAGAGGATATTTTGTCTTGTATTTTACAATCTTGTTAGCTTTCGCCTAGTTTATAGTTCTTAACTGTTCGATTAGTAAGAGCACTGATGTAATTTGGACCCCACGTACGCTAACACAACCTTTTATACCATGCCATAGAAAATACAGCTAATCAGAATACAGGAAAGCCGTTGTATATTTGACGGTATAACCCCAACCTTCCCATTCGTGAGCCGCTCGCATGTTAATTACATTAATTGTGTTGGCCACTATTTTCTATGGTATGGTATACCAAGAAAATCCTACTATAAGTGACTCGTGGGATATTCCATGGTATACGACTCGAGAACGTTGCATAACTAATGTATATTTATCAAATCGATCTCATTTTCCCCTGGTCTACACTCTTATACACCGTACACCATATACTCAAGTGGAAGCACGAAGCCACAGTTAAGCGGTGTCACTCTGTAATGAAAATAATAGCCATTTAACTGTCTTTTTTATATTAAATCATCCAAACAGGTTGATTGTGGTTGCTGAAAGAGACGTTGTTTACAGTAAGTTTCCAATTCCTCTGATCAATCGTCTGGAGAAACATTACCTTGTGACATCAGCAAGCCTGTCTTCTGCGCAAACAGCCGTGGTGCGTCGCCNAAAACTTAATTTAGAGGTGGGCAAATGAAATGTTTTAGGTTTGAAGTGTCTTTCTTCATTGAAATCTCAGCCGGCCGTTCAGTGTTAGTTATGTACCTAATCAAGTTCAAAATATTCTCTTGTTCTGTTGTTATCTTGTACTATTTTTTTTACCGTTAGTACTACGTGTATTTTGGAGGACAAAAGTTTGTGGATCTTGGACTGGGAAGCCATCGTGTTAAATGTCGTGTCAGTGATGCTTTCAGGTAAGACTTGCCTGTTTAACGCTTTCAGCATGGATCGCACACCCAAACTGAAAAAAAGGTGATGCTGTGTAACAACCTGTGCTTAGAGGATATTTTGCCTTGTTTTTCACAACCTTGCTAGCTTTTGCCTAGTTTAAAGTTCTTAACTGTTCGATTAGTAAGAGCACTCCAGTAATTTGGACCCAACGTAAGCTAACACAACCTTTTACACCATGCCATAGAAAATACAGCCATTCAGAATACAGGAAAGCCTTTGTACATTCGACGGTATTACACCCATCCTTCCCATTCGTGAGCCGCTCGTATGTCGCATTAATTGTGTTGGCCACTATTTTCTATGGCATGGTATACCAAGAAAATGCTACTATAAGTGACTCGTGGGATATTTCATGGTATACGACTCGAGAACGTTGCATAACTAGTATATATTTAACACATCGATCACATTTTCCCATGGTCTACACTTTTATGCACCATACACCATATACTCAAGTGGAAGCACGAGCCACAGACAAGCGGTTTCATTCTGTAATAAAAATAACAGCCATTTTAACTTGTCTTTCTATAATAAATCATCCAAACAGGTTGATTGTGATTGCTGAAAGAGACGTTGTTTACAGTAAGTTTCCAATTCCTCTGATCAATCGTCTGGAGAAACATTACCTTGTGACATCAGCAAGCCTGTCTTCTGCGCAAACAGCCGTGGTGCTTCGCCTTCAGGACTGGGTGAAAAATTTTTCTCAAATCAATGTCCCACCCCACCAGCAAATGAGGTACGTTCTTTAGCTGGTTAGGAGTACAAGGATTGGATAATGCTTTCCTTGTGCAATGGAAAAGCGTGCATGATAGCGTGCTCTTCTAAAGATAGTTTTACCTGACTCGTTAATACATTGCTCTCCATTTTCTGTTTACAACTTAAGATGCTTGCTAGCGTTTTCATTACGTATTTCACAGTTGTTTTGTGGTGTGATTTAGCCCAGATAAAATAATCTAAATAGGTCACAGGAATAGAATTCTGATCCTGTTTCTTGCAGGAAATATTTACCTGGTGATGCATTTGTTGGTTACCATGGGGACACGGCAGCATCTGTAGTGCTTCAAGTGTGCAGCAACATGGACCAGCTTGGACAGCATAGTCATTTCAGTGACCGACATTCCTGGGAGGAGGAGGTGTGCTAAAACGATTTAATTAATTATTGAATACTCCTTTGACAGCGTTTCTTTGGCCACATTGATCGTGCGAATTTCATTACTGTCATTATGTTTTTGTCGGTACAAGGTGAAATCCAATTGTGCGTGTACTGTAAGTGAATTTCGATTGTGCTTGGCGCCGTTAGCTTAACGCATGGTTTTACCGTTGTAGGTTTTCAAACAATCACAAGAACTTCTGTTACAGTGTGCTACACCTGATGCTGTTGCACGGCTGCAATGCTCCCAGCTAAGACAGCAATCAGACAAACTGTGGGATACGTATTTTACAGTCCAGGAGCATTCAAGTTTGACAGCCTTCCTTAGAAATGTTCTGACGACAGAGGAGAGAAAGTCAGACAAAGGAACTTTGATTCAGGTGAGAGACCAGATTATTTACCGTGCATTACAGTGTTCTTGACCTAGGATACGTCTTTTTTTACCTTGTATCTCGCTGGATTTTAAACGAAAAGCATAGAATAAAAGTACTGTATCTCGGATATCTTTGATCTGTTTCTTTGGAAACTGTTGAAACTGGCATTAAATGTGCAAGTTATTTTAAAGTTTAATTTTCTTTTAAGTGAACTGAGCCACAACAGTCTATTGACGTTTAAAGATTGTAAGTAAAGTTTTGCATCATCTTTGTCTCAATGGTCTGTAGAGAAATTAGTCGTTAAAGTAACACATGCTTTAGGAGTAGAGAATTTAAGAAAGAAATTTTTTAAAAGATCTGTATTTTTATGACTTGAAGTTGATGCGGTCACAGTCCTGTTATCTTATTATATCAGTGCTGAGTAAAACCATATTCATCTGACAACTTTCTGTCTATTAGGTGACAACTCACTCCAGGCTGCTGTCATCAAGTGATTTACAAGACATTTCATCCGCTACCTCTCTCTCATTGCCAAACGTAACATGTCTGAGTCTGCAGCAGTTCCACACCGAGCAGCAGTTCTGCTCATCTGTAAGGTAAACACTTGTTCACCAGTTCTAGGTTATTCAATGTGTCTTATTTTATGTAGTAATTTGTCAAGGATAAACCATAAAATACATGTACATTAGGTCTCAAACGCCCTCTACTGTAGAATTTCTTTTGAATGTTGTTACGGTTTGCAGAGACAAGGTGCTCTCGCTCATGACGTGTGGGGCAGAAGGTGTTCTTCGTTTAGAGAGCTGTGATTTTCTTTTGGTGACCAGTTACCTCACAGTGGTTTTATTTGCCACAGAAATTCCATTTCAATACAAGGTTAAATGCAAAATTTCTTCTAGAAAAAGTACAAAAAAATTAAAACTTTAACCCACTGGTATCTCCTATCCATATTATGCAACTTGCCTTTATAGGGACTTCTTTGCTAAACTTGGCGGAAGAGAGGGATTGCTGCTTGTCCAATGTGATGCTGGAGATCTGAACTGCAACTTGATCCCTTGTGCTCGTCACCTCCTAGTGGAACAGAGAACCACTGCAGAACAAGATTTACTAGAAAGTGTTGAACACAACCCCTTGTCGTTCATCCATATAGTTCTGATTGTTCAACTCCCTCGTCTTGTTGGAGGCTGTCCAACGTTTGCTGGTTTTCAAGGAGGGCGTTGGTTGTCTATTCACATAGACGAGCTTCGCCCACCAACGGGTCAAATTCCAGCCATTCAGTTCATGGTGGACAGAACCGTCAGTGAGTTATTTGACGTGGCACCAAGTACAACGCAGGTTGATGATATGGAAGTTGAGGAGGAGCAGGAACAGGAAGAAATGACTAACATTGGCATGGAGATCACGGCTGATGCTTCCTCCAGATATACAAACCTGGATAAAGTAGACATTGTCAGCCTACTGAGAAGCTGTGTTCAAGCTGCTGTTGCAAGAATTGATGACGAGTCTTGTGGTCCATCAAGGTCAACACGTCGGATAGAACTGATGTTGAGTCTTCTTCCAGATTGCAGATCCAGAGAAACTGGTAAATAAAAGTAGATTATTACTTGTTTAGTGGAGGCGCTGTGGCCTCATGGTAAATGCGCTCGACTTGGGATCGAGCGGTCCAGTTTCGAACCCTGGCCGGGAACATTGTGTTGTGTTCTTGGGCAAGACACTTAACTCTCACAGTGCCTCTCTCCACTGAGGTGTACAAATGGATACCGACGAATTTAATGTTCTGGTAACCCTGCGATAGACTAGCATCCCATCCAGGGCAGAGTAGAAATATTCCAAGTCGCTTCAGGCTACAGAGACCAGAATAAGCTCCGGCCTGATGGGCTACTTGGCTCGTATGCAGACTTAATCTATTCCTTATCTCACTGGCAGAGTTAGGTTTATTTGTCAGTTGTGAGAAAAATGTTTTTTTTAATTCTAGTTTATTGGGTATGTTTAATTGGGTTACAGATTTGTCATTTGCTACCATCTTGGCTCGACGAATCCACAAACTTCTTCAAGAAAAAGATGAGCGGGCTGGAATGAAGGCAAGTGATTGGCTACGCTCGGAGGCTTTAAGCGGTACAGGAATCCAAGAGAATGGAACATTCAGGAAAGCACTGTGGCAGAGGGTCTACTCATCTGTGATTCCAATCCTTTCTGAGGTTATCGCCGTTGTGGACCGTGATTCAAACCTGGAATTGGTAAGAGAGGAAGGTAACTGGCTGTCACGTTTATGGATACAACTTTTCCAAAGCCACAGCATGGTCGAGTTTCGTTACGATGGTTTCCTGTCACTTGAAAATGGCGTCATACGGGAACGTGTGCCGGTGATCACTGCTGGTCGTGAAAGGCAGGTGTTTGAACTGCAGTTTCCTTTCTCGTGGTTGATTAAGGAAAAATTTGATGACATGTGGAGGGGCGCATGCAGCATTGCAGGTAAGCGGTGCTTTGATTCTGCCCTTTAAATGACTATATTCCATTTTATTATATGGCCAGCTCCGTGAGCGGGCAAGATAAACCGAATCCTGCGCTATCTTGCCCGCTTGGGATTACCCGCTGT